GTTTAGACTATAGCTTATATGGGAGTTTCTTAGAAATACCTCTCCGAAGCTCATGATTCCCATATAATCCCCATGTATCCCCATGATCCGTCGGGGTACCGCCTCAACACACAAACTTCTCGCAACTTCAGCTCTTCCACAACTCACTGCGGAATTCAGGCCGTAAGAGTTCAGAGAATTCTGAACCATAACAGCCTTAATCCTAAACACGCTGCGTTCCATGATTGTGGCACATTTTTCCAGCAAGTTATCGCACTATCGCAACGAGGCTCAGGCTTAAAGATCCGTGTTAAAGATTGAACCTCCTACGCACATGAACGTCTATTTTATCAGGCCCTAGATAGTGATAATTCCCCATATTCTCCTGATGCTTTTATTGTTGGACCGGGTCACCGTAAATCCTAAGCCCCAAACCCTAACTGCAGTTGCGAGCAGGCATGGATAGCATCCTGATCGGCGCTCAGGTGGTATCTCTGGCCCTTAGTAATTCAAGGTTTCAGAGTACTGATCGCCCACGTGCGCCATATTTAAAACTCCTAAAAGGGGGTATTTAAGGGATAATACAGGGGACTACTCTAGGGGTTCTTCAGGGGGATACTAGGGGTTTAGATTATAGCTCCGCTCAGTCTAGGCTTACTTGTATCTGCGGGTTTCCAAAATTTAGGCCACAGATCTAGGTCCCAAAATTAAAATTAGGGTCCCTTTCTGCGGTTTCAGCAGTTTCCCACAACAAGGATTATGATATAAGGGTTTCTTTGGTGTCTCCAGATTTTCGAAGCTGAAATAGTACCGGCAACCGAGCTGGCAGCCCCCCACCCCTTAGTGCCCGAATGTGGCTATAAGTGTGGCCGAGCTCCATAAGGACTCTCAAAGGGGAAGGCCGACTGAGAGTTCGACATCGTCTGATTATAGCAATCATGTTACTTACATGACTTACATGTTCTTTCATTTTCACCAGGGCTGGTACCATTCCTTTCTTGTGGGTACCACGGCTTCAGCGCTTTCGGGCATCTCTGCTTACATGGCATAAGGTTTGGAATGGTCGTATGAATTGTAGAAAGAAGTCTGGAAGCCGTTGACAGGGGTAGCACCAAGGGCTTCTTTGGTTTGAGGATCATGGCTTAGGGTTTCAAGATTCAAGAGCTTCGATGTAGGGTCCCAACTCCTTAGCAGGCGCGCTGCCAATCCTACAACATCTCTGGCATTCACGGTTTTGGCCTTCACAAATTGTTCTCCCTCTTCACAAGCGTGAATGCAATTCCCTGAAAAGTGGCCTGAAAGCTCTGAGCATAATGAGATGGTGTATAATCCCCCATATAACCCATTATTATAGTAGTTTCCATTTTCTTTTCCATCATTCCTATGTAACCCCACAATATATATATATATATTGTCATGCCTCCCAGAGTCTTTGCAATACTGACGTTGCCAACCCCGAAACCCTCATGTTTCCTTTAACTTCACTCGGCGTACAAGGCTTCGCTGAGTAGGAAATGAGGCACTAAAAACCCGTAGGACAGTGTTGTTCGGTTTTCAAGGTTGGGCGTGTTGTTTGTCGTCCGTCTTTGGCACTGCTTGGGTTTGCAGGCCCCAAGCCCCAGAAACCTGATGCTTGCACCCCGATTCCAACCTTTTGCCCCCGTCTTCCATAAATGCGGACTGAGTACAGGGATCTTAATAGGGCGTTCCGTAGAGATTGTTACCAAGACCCCGTAGATGTTTCCAAGATCTTATAGCATACCACAAACCGAGAACTTAACATTGATTCTCCGTTGCTGGACCCTACACCCTATCATTCCTCAGCCAAGGTCTGGAACCCGGTGGTTTGGGCAGGTGCGGAAACGAGGGATTGACCCTACGTGGAGGGTCAGAGGACTTTGCAAGTATGCCTAGTACACCTATAAGGTGTATAAGAACTCTAGAAGAATGGACAGTATTTTTTAGGGTTTAGGGCTTGGGGCTAGGGGGACTGAGTAGTCTAATAAGTATACTTACTGTGTCTCTGAGGCTCCAAGCGAATGCTCAAGCTGAGGCTCCTATAAGACCATGTCCTTGGGCATCAGGTGTAGCAACCTGAGCAGCTAGATACTCCTGGTACACTCTGAGTAGGGTTTGAGGTTTGGAGGTTAGGATTATGTGTGCCCAAACCCTCTTTCAGTCAAATTACGTTTTCGGCCCCAAATTTCATGATAGGGCAGTTTGTTGTTGCCGGATATGGCAAGGGAGCAGATGGGCTGGGGTTTGAGTGACACCTAATATTGCTGTTATTACTGCCGTTACTGGTATGGATACGCCTGTTTTCACTGTTAGCATTTCATTATCATATTGATGTGATGCTAGTACTCTACTTTAGGAGGACTCCACTCTGTAATAGTGGCTATGAGGGATAACAGTAACTATATTATTAGGGTCCTGTAATATTCCTATTATACAACTATTACAGGATGGGGGCGTCCTCCTAAACTCTACTGATTATGTTTGCTTTTGCATTTTCGGTCCGGGCTTAAAGGCATCACAGGCTCAAACGGCCTCGAGTTTCTGTGCAGCACGTCTGGTTCAGAGCCACTGTCAAGGACTTCTACAGCATGCATTGGGGGAGGCCTCGCCCAGTAATACTAGGTACCCCAGTAGTCCCCTTTTTCCCTCTACGGTCTCCTGATGACAACACAACATTCCTGAACTAGTGCTACTGATCCTGGTACAATTACCATTATCCCTTGTGGTGGTTTCCGGCAATCTACGCGTCTGAGCTTTCCTTTGTTGGGCCTACGGGCTGGAACTGTTTTTGGGCTCTCTCGGGTCGGAGCTTCGTCTTGGGCAGTCAATGGGCACGGTTTTGGTTTGCCGTCTATACGTTTAAACTTTGATTTGGGTAGTCTACAGATTGATTTTTTCCGGCAGTCTGCAGGCCAGAGCTCGCCAGTCTACAGGTCAGAACTTTGTGATGAGCGGCATCCAGTCGACAGCTTCAAGCTATGTTTTCGACAGCTGACAGTCCATAACTTTGTTTTGCGCAGTCTACAGGTCAGAACTGTCCGGATCCTGCACATTCGTGCGGAATTCAGTGCGTCTTCCTTGCAAGCTTGCCCCAGAGATGGCAACGTTAGCGTGCTGGAGTCTAGTATCACAGAGCAGCGGAAGTCAAACTGTTTTTTTGCTCGCCTGTACCTGTGCAAATGCCAAGCTGCAAACACTTTGCCGCGAGCTCTGTCGTGAGGCTTTGTCGTAGAAAAAGTTTTTTATGTACTCAAAAGCTCTTTCAGCTTCCCTTTTTACAGTGCCTAAAGGTTCCCTTGAACCCTCCGTTATAGCCCCCAGGTAGCTTGGTAGGCTCCTCGAGCATCCTTACTTTGGTATTAGAAGTTTCGGCAATCCTTCACGTTCCCCTCTTACTTTTGGCTCATCCCTGTTCGAGGACCGCTTTCCTAAACCCCATGAAATTGCCTTCTCCAAAGCCCTCCCTTGAACTGTGCCCTCTCCCAACCTAACAAGGAGCCGCGTATGGGGGTGTCCAGAAACAATTTGTGGAGTCCGTGTTAGGATTACCTGTAATTGCAACTACCTACAGCTTAGTACGTAATGATTACCCGTTGATTAATAGGTATAACCCATAAAACTGTAGGTAACTGGGGTATCTGGGGCTACAGGAATAACATTTGGGATCCCGCTATGTATGGAAACCGTTATACGGCCTCCAAAAAAGATTGGTCTGCTCGATCGGGATTCTGTCTAGCCCGGTTTTGAGTTTAAGGCTGAAAGTCTGTGAAGTTCCAAACTGCTAAGCTTGGTGAAATTCACTGTAGGAGCCTGAATAAAATACCCATATCGTCCCTTTACGATTCCTATTTATAGCCCGAAATAAAGCAGAACCTTGCTATACTCTATTGCAATAGGCCCTACATACATGCAGCCCCTATAGTTTCCATGTCATGTCCTTTTTCTTCTCCATCTGATTTTCCTGTATGATGCACCTTCCGGAAGTCTCTTCGTAGGATCAAGGGTGCTCCTGCTGCGGTGATCTTGTTGGCTCTGTTTGAACCCGAACCCTTTAGCCTCACAGAAAATGACATTTGGTAGCCTCAACACCCAAATTCTCCAAATTAGGAAGTGACTTCTTTTGTAGAATCTCAAGGAATTTTGGCGTCACCATTGGAAGTGGTTTTCGAGCACTTGCAAATGTCGGGCCTATGACAGTAAGGCAAAGCTTTTGCTCGTGGGGTTGGGGGTGTAAGGGGGTATCTAAAGTCAACCTTTAACGTCCCCCATCTTGTCCGTATGAAAATGAACGCCCTAATCCTAATCCCTGAAACTCGTCCCCGCCCAAAACCCCCCCCCACCCCAAACCCTAAACCCACAACCCCAAACCCCAAACCCTTTTACCTGCAGTGCCAGGGCACGGAGCTGAAGCCGTCGACTGCGTCACCCGAGTCTGAAGAGGAACCCTGAAGACAGGGTTGAGGGCTTAGGGGCTTAGGGCTTAGGGTTTAGGGTTTAGGGGCTATAGTCCCCCTTAAGTAGATAGAATGTTAATGGGGTTATATAGAGGTTAATGGAAAAGAAAATGGAAACTACTATATTATAATAGGGTATATATATTGGGGCTATAGTCCCCGTTAAGTAGATAGAATATGGGGTATATGGGGATCTTTTTTATAATCTACCCAAAGCCATATTGTATCTACTTGAGGGGAACTATAGGGGCCATGGGCTAAGGTACAGGGTTCGGCAAGTGATGCAGGGTGGAAAATGAAATGGGGGTGTGAGCTGTATGCTATGGTTAGGTTTCTGCAGTGTATGGCCTACAGCCTTAAAAACTTTTTTTGACGATCATGTTGGCAGTTGCAGTGTTCTGAAGACATGGTCCAATTCGGGATTCAGGGTTGCAAGTTTTGGCACGTTATGGCGAGTTCAGACCTTCAATTAATGTCTCATGAGGATCCTTGATAACCCCCTCATAATTCCTGTCTATGCCTAGGGCCTAGGGTCCCCGTGAATCCCCATGTCCCCAAATTAAAGTTTTGTGAGGGACGATACCCGCCTTGTGGACAAAAGGCTAGCATGTCACTTCCCCACAAGCAATATCTATTACCCAACCCTCCTAGCAATGAATAGTCCCATTCCAGTACCGTAGCACCTTGAGAGTACTCGTATTTGTCATTCGGGGGGCATACCTAAGGCACGCGATGATTCACGTTCAATGCTGTGCTCAAGTTCGCTACCCTTTCTGCATCTGTGCGCTGGTTGTTCGTGGGAGCCTTCAATATTTTCATGGGAACCGCCCTTCTTAGAGGCCCATGCACAACAAGCACTACATACCCACTGTGATTCGGGTTTGGGTTTTGTCACATTCAGGAGATGATTGTACTGAAGCCTAATTCTGATTTGTCAGCCTCGGCATCATATGTTCGCGGCCCTGGCCTAGTGTCTGCCACATAGACGTCATTCTGCACAGAATCAGCACAGCACTCGAATGCACCGTCCAAAGTATACAGTATACAGGTATAGTAGTATAGTCCGCCATAAGTAAAGAGAATTTGCGGTATATGGGGATCTTATTCTAATATACCCAAAACCATATTCTATCTACTGAAGGTGGGCGCTATCGGTATGCTCTGGGAGTCGGGTTGCAGCTTGGGGTTGGGGCAGCCATGCTTTCAGGCTTCAGACTTCAGATTTCAAAGCTATCCACTCGAAACGAAACTTATCCCGTCAAAGCATGCTTGAGCGTTTCCTAGGGGTCACGCTGCAGTCGCGCGAGCGCCGATTATCACGGGGATCGGGGGTGGGGACATTGTTCGGGAGAAGGGATTGCTGGTAATTGGTTTCTTAAAACGGTCCCTATATAACTCCCAAGAGGAATCTCCTTATGGTCATGCATTCCTGCATCCCCCTTGGCATCCCTAATTTGATAAACCCCACCCTAAGCCCTAAGTCCTGAACCTGAATAGCGGGGCTTAATCTAGGTACCCCAGTAGTACCCATTTGCCCTTTTTACTTTGGGGTCTCCTTATTTCAGCTGAACAGTTGGAAAAAGGGTACCCTTATTATCAACAGGTTACTGGGGAACCTAGATGGGCTATTACACCCTAAATAGTAGTCCCCTATATAAGCCCCTTTAAGGACCTTATTACCAATGGGTTACTGGGGAACCTAGCACCGCCATTTGCAACAACGCAAACACTGGCCAGGACTTTGCTACAGCATGGCAAAGGCTGGAGTTTTGGCTTCGGGCCTTATAGTAATGGGTTTAGGGTTTAGGGTTTAGGGCTTAGGGCCTTAGGGCCTTGTAGTACCCCTTAAGTAGATAGAATATGGCTTCGGGTATGTTATAATAAGATCCCCCATATACCCCATAGCCTATCTACTTAAGGAGGTGAGTAGTGGGACGCGCTCATGAGCGCTTACGCTGTTAATCTTCTTGTTCTCTTTTGATGTGGTACTAGTATCATCATGAACATGCCGGCTCTCATTTCAATCAAGATGCAAATGAGGCCCATGGGTCAAAGCGGCACAGAAATGCTTGTTCTGCTTTCCGTTGCCCTCATTCAACTGTTTGGGATTTTCGGCGCTGGCCACGGCCTTGAGTTTTTTGAGAACCCTAAGCCCGAAATCCTAAAACTCGTATTGCGGGACTCCAAAGAACCAGAGGCGCATCTTCATGTGAGCCCTAGTCCCTAAAGGGGGTTATGTAGAGGATTCTATAGGGAACCATATAGGGGAGTATGAAAGGGTTGATTAAGGGGGATACTAGGAGTTTAGTCTATAGCTCGTTGCGAAAGGAATGTCCGCATTTCGGTCACACTCCCGGTTTCTCCTGCCACCCGCGAACAGTCTTAGTTAAGGAGTACCTGGTAGTTTCCCTAAATCGCGGGACCCCAATGTAGACCCCCAAATGGTGTGAATCCATAACCCCTTATCTTGGAAGCCCCCATGTTAATTATATATATATATATGTATAGATTTGAAGCTTCCTTACCAGTAAGTGGTGGAAAAGAGAATGAAACATGAAACGACGGGTGGGATTATGTGGTGGTTGCTGGGGCTCGGGGCTAGGTAGGGAACATCCAAGTTACAACCAGGTAGTATCCTATGATCTCTTGTCATTTGCATCAGACAAAACCTAAACCCTAAACCCTAAACCCTAAAACAAGTCTGTCCTAGCTACATATTCCTAACTCGCACAGGTTCTGCTCGCGAAATCCGCGTCTGCGGGACCCGAAGGATCCGGGCTCAGGGGCGACGGGATCGTTCCAGGGGTATAGTTAGTGGGTTTCATGAAGCTGGGGGTTGGGATAAAAGAGTGGAAAATGAGGTAGCTGCATCTACCCGCGTTTGCATGCATTCCTGACAATTTCTTCGGACTTCAACGGTCTGGTTTATCGTCCTAGGCTCTTCCGATTGTAACTGCTATCATAAAGGCACGCACTGGCATACATCATGTGCCCTGTCAGTTGTTGCATGCGTTTTGACGACTTCCTTTGTACTTGGCGCCAATTTCACATACATACGCAGAATTCCTGGCAAATTCCTTGAATAACAGTAGGGGTCCTAGTGTCATTTGAGGTATATTCCCCTATGAAGATATTCGGTCTCTGCGGGTGCTTTGCAAGCTCTAATTTCTGCAGACGTATGGTGGTACGGTTCATACTACAAGTCGCCCTTGCTTGGGTACTTGTTCCTTTTAGTCACCAACCGTAGTCTTGGACAAATAGAGGGTTCAGGTATCAGGTACCCTCCATGTAATTACCACAGGTAGCTCGACGGAAAGCGCTACTGTAAAAAGCGGAAAAGCTTGATGGACAAATTTGGAACCTGAAAAGGGTCTTTATCCGCCACTTATAGTAAGCCATATTCTGTCTCTATATACCCAAAGCTGAAAGCTTAAAGCTTGAACCTTGCCCCATACATAAACCCTGGCTTACCTGTCTGGTGAGTAGCCTTGACCTTTTTTGTATATTATAAGACCCATATAGAACAAAATGTCAACCCTGGAAAAGCCTTATGTACACGACACCTCATTAAAGATTGCTTCCCTTTGACAAAGAATCCATTTGGGCGTGCCCGCAAATCGTGGTATATGAGAGGACTCCCTTTCGTGCAAATGCCCATTTGTTGTCCATGATCGTGCAAACGCTTAAACCTTCAGACCTTACACCCTATGTTCTGTAAGAGGCCCTGCCGGGTCTCATGCGCCGGGGGGTGCCGGCAGAAATGCGAAGAGAGGCGGATGTGCTGAGCATTTGTAGGGCTTAGGGCTTCGGTGGGAACAGAATGAGGCCCGTCTTTGACCAGTTCTTCAAGCAGGGCCGCTGTCCTCATGCCCACAACTATAAAACGGCAATCATTGCCGAGAGCTCAGCATCTCAAGGACTTTCCTCCCGCGAGCCCAACCATGTTTTGGGATTCCTGAAGCAGAACAAAAGCTCCTGAACAAAGAAGAGTAAACCAAGCTACCGCCTTGGAAGGGATGGTTCATGCTTCAGTGATGAGGAAGGAGCCAGGTCATCTCTTTGCCTCGAGAGTTTTTCCAAGTTTCAGGAGGTCTTGCAAGTTGACTTACGTTGTTGAGAGGCGAGGCTGTTTTGGATCCGCAGTCTCTTTCTCTCATAGAGCGCTCGCCTGTTGAACCCACGCGAGAGACATGCCCACGCTCATCTGTCAAGCTTTTGCGGTGGTCTCAATTGCCGAGAGCCAGGGTTGCCAGTTTTCTTCTATTGGCATCATCAGCTATTTCGACAGCTAAGCATTGAATGAGTGAAGCAGGTGCTGCGCCATGCAATTAAGTAGTTAATTAGCACGCATGGCGCCACGGCTGGAAGTCCTTGCTCAGAATTTCCATCGCCGGCACGATAAGAGTGTGGCCTTCCGCAAGTTCACGAAGAAGGCGCATGACTGCAGCAAGCAACGCGCACGGAGATATGCAGCCCATGTAGCTGCCTGGATTGCTTATGGCCCTCCAACCTATGTCCCTGGGCACACAGAATTGAAGCTGTTGCATGACTTCTTGTTGAAGCTTGGTGGGGGCCAACTGCCTGCTCGGCTGGAAGATGTCCTACCCCGAGCGCAGTCGACACTTGAGGGTATGAGCCTCGAGAACTCATCCTGCAGAGAGCTTGGGGAGAAGCTGAAGGAGAGGCTTCGCCGCTTTCAGTGCTGTAGAGGCGCCCAAACCCGTGAGAAGAACAAGGAGGCACACGCGGTGGTGAATGACGAGGATGAAGACGAGGAGGAGTCATGTCATGTGGTTGAGGTCGAGTCTTCCGAAGAAGATTGCCAGGAATCCCAAACGTTACCGCTGCAAGATGTAGGGCTCCCAGCAGCAGAAGTATGCCAAGGTCCCCACTTCTCATCGCAGCAACTCTTCAACAAAATGAACGAATGGACAAACACGCCAAATGACGCTCGGCTTACGGGTATACGGTATACCCTTATTCCAAGTTTGAAGGTAGGCGTAAAAGGTAAACAAGCTTCCTAAATTTGGACGGACAGCTTATGTGCCCTGATCCGCTGGCAGAGTTAGGAAGAAAGATCGGCCTTTCTTCAGAAGATCCAGCTTGCCAGGGAGACGGAAGCTACTGAGGCTGCGCTTGCAGATGTTCTGTGTGCGGCTGCTGCCGCCTTGTCTCCCCCGCGAAAATCCATGGTATGCAGTGACTCACGATTTGTTCATGAAAACATTAAGTTCTACGTGCAAGCACGTGAACGGTCTGTTGAGTGAGGTTTGAGCTTTAGTCACTTCCCCGCCCAAAAAACCTCTCTCCCCCCCTCATAGCAAACATTTGCCGGTTTGAAAAAGCATTCATGGTTAGGATATTTCTTGAAAAGAAAGATGTAGGGACCAATCTAGTTCGTATTTAAGAAGCAGTAATGTTCTGGAATGGTTGTCAAACCTCCCGAGAACATTCTGCGAATCCACCTTATTTGCACTTTCTTGCTGGCTCCTTTTGCACGTAGTCTTCGCCTTTTTACACGTGATCTTCCAGGACTTTCGGCCTCCCGAAATATGGTACATTACTGGGTTGCTGTTAAGGAACTTAAATTAAGTTACCATAATGGGTATATATAGTAAATAATAGGGTTTCCCCAACATAGTAACTTAGTTGAAGTTCCTTAACAGCAACCCAGGTTATCCAGAGAATTTTCTAGTTAAACAAGTTGGTGAATTCTCATGGACTTCCACTAGTCAGGCGAGGGTGACGAGGATGATGCAGGGATTCTGGATGGCGTGGGGTGCCGTGTCGATTCCCAGGTTGAGCTTTCGTTGAAGCTGCAAGCTCGGGTCAGGGCCCTTCTGCTTGAGCTCTTGCGTGACTGGAAGGCCAGAGGTTTCGATGCCAGTGCCATCCACACTGTGCCTGGATCCTGTTTGGTAGCCGCTTCCACTTCTACGAACATTATACAATCAACAAGGAAGCTCCACAAGGCGCCATGTAGCTAAATTCCGAGGATTACAGAATTTTGTACTTGTGTAGTTCCTGAAGTTCCATGCCCCAGGTCCTCCTGCATCTGCAGCGGCAGCTATCTACCTTCGAGTCCAAGGCTGATGGTTTGCCAGAATTCCCACACAATGACCACCCTGTCTTAGGGTTTAGGTTTTAGGGATCGGATCGGAGGCCAAACCACCTCTCCAGGACTGATGTATTCTCGGGCTCTGGGACACCAGAGGGCCTCACAGCTTATCAACAACTTTAAACACACAACCCCTAGGTCCCGCCTGTGTGCCGAAGACGCACAAACCCTTTAACTACTTACGCTCCACCAAGCTAATCCAAATTACCTAGCCTGTAATCCCTTCCCCCTAGTTAATCGACGTTCCCTCTCCCCCTGCTAGTATTAGATAAGCTGATTAAAAACTCCTGGTTCCGGATTTTTGAATATGGGGGGGGAGGAGGGGTGCCTTTAGACTCGATTTAAGCTCCATGGAAAGTCAATAGTCAACTGGCAGGACCCAAGCCCTAAATACTTCTCGTATTATCCCTATTTACAAATGCACTTCAAAGCTTGCTTTTCATAGGTCCCTAAACCCCAAACCCTGAACCCTAAGCTTCCCTAAACTCTGAACGCTAAACCTTAACCCCCTAAGAGGTTGGCGATCTTCACCTTGCCGCGGCGTCAAAGGCCTGGCTTGCCATCCAGGAGGCAGTGCGGGAAACTCTGGGGACACCAAGCCCCAAGCCCTAAATTCCTTAAAGAGAGTTACAAAGAGTTTAGGATTTAGGATTATATAGGGTTTGGGGTTTAATTAGGGTTGAGGGACTCTTCTATGGGCATGTAATAAGGCCCCCTACCATCTCAACATTGGAGCTTAGATGCTTTGTAGTCTCCCACAGCGATGGGGTGTAGACCTTTTTTTGATCCTGCAGGCCGTTACGGGTCTGCTGCAGCTGTCGGCCAACCAGGAGAGAACAAACAAACAAAGGATAGTCTAGGTACCCCAGTAGTACTCATTTGCCCTTTTTATTTTGGGGGTTCCTTATTAACGCTGAACAGTAGGAAAAAGGGTACCCCCATTTATTGTCAATGGGTTACTGGGGAACCTAGTAGTTCATGGAAGCCAAAGGGTAATCAAAGCAATGAGGGTTTGAGGCTTAGGAAAGTAGATGTTTCTAGCCAACACAGTCTTTAACAAAACCAGGCTTCATACATATGCGCCAGGGTCCCTACTACAATGCCTTAATTGGGGCTATAGGCTATATAGCCTAAAGCCTAACCCGTTTGTTTGGGAAAGAGTTTTTCTTGCTACAGTCAGGCCCCAAGTTCCTCCTAGGGATGGTCTTGTTCCGATTGTTGTTGTCTGCAAAGGGCGGTAGCCTGGCCTAGCCTTTAGTGGGCAAACTATAACACGAATAGGCGTCATGTAGTGAACAGTGGGCCGTCAGGGACTTGACATATTTTTTCATTCTTGTGTCTGCATGATAGGTCTTGCTCCCCTGCGCTACTGGTACAATCGGGTGCACGAAGGGAACATAGTCACTGATTGTCGGGCACCCACAACATGTGCTCATTATGGCTCTTAAGTACAAGCCTCCAGCCACGAAGCCTACCTTGGACCCCTCTTTGTCACAACACCGTGAATTAAGGGTTGATGTCCCTTCCTAGTAAACCTTCCGCTGTAGTAGCAAAGTAGAAGGGGAGAAGATTCATCATCAATGTGGATGGCGGGGGATTGCTTTAGTTAGCGGTATTTGCAAAGACCTATTTTGCTTGCTGCCCTCGCCAGGAGCCTTTAGAGTATTCATTCCTGACGGGTTTGGGGTATCGGGTTACAAGCGGGACGTGCATACTGCTTGGCTTCGCCAAAAGCTAAGTACTCAGGAGCAGCGAGCGCAGAGTTGTGGGAGAAGGGGGTCAAGAATGCAGCTTCAAGGAGCAAAGAAGGCGCGAGAACCTCGAAAAGGTACAAACATCATTGGTACCAGTCTGCAATGCTAACTGTGGAATTTGAGCCAGAAAAAAATCTGCAGTAGTAGAATTGCAAAAGCATTTTGCTAGGGGAATAGTGTCCGTGGTGCATAGTAGTTAGTAGCAGCACGAATGGCATGGACCGGTGCCAACGGTTGGGTGGAATGCAGGGATGTGCCTGCCGAGCCTCTCGGCACCTTTGGCCCTCATAGAGGGTAGGAAGAGGCTTCGGTAGACAAAGTTCTCGTTATGCGGACCCCCGTTTAGCGCCCGAATTGCTGGACTCTTGGAAGGGACTCCCGGTTAGGCTGGTGGGCTTTTTGTCATAGGAGGAGGAAACCACCATACATTTTCCGGAGCCTGCATATTTGCATGACCCAGCAGGCAGTGATGGCAGCAATGGTGGCCCTCAACGGCAAAGCGACGACAAGGCAAGTCAGAGCATATCTCCGAAAGCATCCCCACATCTACGAAGGTACAGACTCCTCTAACATCGAGCGCCGCATTCAGAACGTTCGAATGAGCGAGTATTGCAAACGGATCGGGAAGAATCAAGGCGCAGAGGACGTGTTTGTGTCACTTACCGAGCCCACGCCTAAGGGTGTGCGACGACACAGGCGAGGCTTCCGTGCCAAGATGAACCTGGCGAAGGTCCGAACCAGCTGCAATGGCCCACTCAGAGCAAAGGCTGAGGATGCAAAGAAGGACTACGAGCAGCTGCAGGAGTGGCGCGCGGCCATGATGCTCAGCCGAGTCAGGATCTGAGTTTAAGATCTTTATCTGAACATTAAATCCAAGAAGCTGAAAAGACAGGATCCTTTATGATGTCCCACGCAGACCTAGGACACACGAGGATGTGGTCGAGCGTGTGCGTGCATGGAATGGAGCGCATGTGACCAAGTACTCAGGTCTGTCACGTCTCGCGCGAAAATGGCAGTTCTCGGGTAGACATAGTCAGCCAGCTTTGGGATCATCAGCCATGGTTTTGCATTCATGTTGAATACCACGGTGTGAGCACAAGATCCCCTTGAGACGTTCTTCTAGCTATTCAGAGCCTGCTTTGGCCCGGGGCAGCTATGAATGGCTTCCGAGGTGGAGGTCACCTTCTGGAGTGGTTGCATTGAAGAAGTAGCCTATTGAAGACCACATTGTATGCAAGACCTTCAACACCTGAAGAATGGCAGAACAGACACTCATGCCCCAACTCATTCCGCGCTTGCAATCTCATGAATCTCGTGATTCGGGGCTGTTCAACAGGGCGCCCCACCCTTAAAGATGAACTTTGTTCGAAATGTAGCCGTTTCAGTTCTTGCTGAAGGGCAAATCCAGCCAGCCACCCTAGTAGGCTTGGCGGCACATCGCCCAGCATCAGGAGGGTAGTTAGAACTATAAAGGGGTGGCAGTAACTCCTGATGAAGTGCCCCCTCAGAATCTATAGCCTGAAGCAGGGGTATCGGGCTCTTTTTGGGTAGGCAGTTCGTTTTTCCATCTTTCTTTGAGCAAAAAGTACGAAACTGTTTCAATAGCAGGGGCAGCAGCAGCGGCAGCAGCAGCAGCAGCAGCAGCAGCACCACCACCACCACCACCACCACCACCACCACCACCACCAACACCAACACCAACACCACCACCACCAACACCACCACCACCAACACTAGTGGCGCCACCAGCACCAGCTCCAAGGCCATCGCCACCTCCCGCCAACACCGCCAGGGCAGCCGCCGCCACCACACCACCACCACACCACCACACCACCACACCACCACACCACCACACCACCACACCACCACACCACCACACCACCACACCACCACACCACCACACCACCACACCGCCACACCAC